GCGGTGGCCGGGAGCGGCCACTACACTCCAGTCTGGGCGACGGAGTGAGACTGCAACACACACACACACACAAAATTGTGCATCGTATACAAGTCAAGTCTCAAATCCCCAGCATTTGAGGATATATATCCATAAACAAAAAATATAACAAAAAATAACATTTGCAAAGCACCTTACATTCATTACTTCATTTACTATACCCACCAGCTCTGCAAATTAGTCAGGTAAGTATCATTACCCATATTTTACTGGTAAAGAAACTGAGACCCTGAGTAGGTGACTAGACTAGAACCAAAAAGTTATGAAGTCATGAATCCTTGGCTTTAAGTCCAAGATTTTAGTGTTGAAATTCCCGAATCTTTCTGTTACATCTTGTCACCAGATGATAGAAATACAGCACTGATGATAACCTGGCTTTCAGCTGCCAATTAAACAGGGCTACAGCACAAAAAGTCTTCCAAACTCACTCACATGACTCACCCAACATAAAGCGCCAACTCTTCTGTGAAGAAAAATAAGCTAAATGCAACAAATCACCACATTTTTCTACTTAAGAGTCCAAGATTAACTAAGTATCATTATAACACAGGATGACATTATCAAGGAGTGATGAGAATCTAATTTACCAACAAAAATCTTGTACATCAAAAGACAGTTTTCCTTCAAATAATATGGACTCACAGTTAAGTACTGTTCTATTGTTACATAGAAGACACCTTATATCATTATTGTGCCACATTTAAAATGACAGCCACTTTTTAAAACTTGGTTCGCTAGTGGAAATCAGACCATTTAAACTATTAGCTCTTCTAGGTCTTGTTACATAAGATCATATTTCAAAGTATATTACTGCAAGTGCAACTTCTGTAAACTCCAGTAATGAACAAACCCAACTGTGGACTCAAGGCTGGTGTTAAAATAAACAAACGGCATTTACATCACACCTTTCTCAAGAAATACGACTAGGCAACCAGAAGCACCCCAAGTTATAGACTGCCCCAAGACCCTAACCAATCAGCTGGCTCTCATATTTGTTACCTCTATTAACCTTCTGTCTTAAAATATATTCAAATTCCTATGTCAAATATAATTGTTTCTCACAGATATAGCAGAAGCCCTTTCAGTGGAGAACATACTATAATAAAATATACTTATTAAACCTCTCAAGAACATAACACTGCTTTTAATTCTCTACTGCGAAAATAAAATCAGCACTATCTTTTGGGGTTTACCCATGAAAATCGTTTGGAATATGCTTACAGTGAGTTGTAACTATTAAGTATTATAACATGCGGACATAACAATGGTTCATTACTATAGAGTAATTAAAGAAAGTATTTCTCCTCCTCAAAAAAGGTCAATCGCTCTCACCCAAAATACATATATACACTGCACACACAGAAATGACACACCTGCCATAGATTATTAATTATCACCGTGCTCTGTAAACTTCCTAAGTTGTGGAGGACTTAATAAAGATTGAGCTTATTTGTGTAAAACCTAAAAATCTCCAAAAACCAGCGGTCCCACACCTGAACACTGCTGACCATGAACACCAGCGAGAACTGCAACGAAACCAAAACGACAAGACACTACAACAAGCAGCGAGCGCTGCTTAAGTTCCTCTGCTGGGAAAGCGCTCCACAGCATCAGTCACCTCGGCTTCAACACTAGTTAAAGTGTGAGAGGAGCGATGGAAAATCTGGCGGGCCGGTCAGAAACCTTGGTGTCACAGAATAAACGTCACAGAGGACGTGTCGAGTTTGCAGCCCAATTCAAACCATGACAGGGCCATCGGACTTCGGCGGCTCCCAGAGCAAATGAGCCAGAACGGTCTACGGTGTTCACCAAGGCGCCCAGCAGTCCCCAGGGGTGCCCAGCAAATGGTCCCTCAGCTCCCAGGACCGGCTCTCCGCCCTCGGGGACGGCTTTCCCCCTGGGTGCCCGCTGGACACTGGCACACTCCGAACACAGGGGCAGGCCCTGCATACCAGGGGTGACAAGGGCAACGCTGCTATGCGGCTGGGGGCTGAAGCTCCGAAGAGTCCCGGGGGGGCAACGCTCGACCCGTAACCCCGGAGTCCCTTTCCAACGGCGCTCTCACCCGGGACCACGACATCCCGAACGGAGGCCAATTAGGAGTTGCAACAAGGTCCGGAGGCACAGCAAGAGGGCTTTAAAAGTTCACCGAAGAGGCGCGCAAAGGGGGGAGGGGGCTTCGAGGGAGAAGGCCGGCGTTCCGGCGTGCCGGCATCCCGGGCGCCCACAGCCTGCAAGCCGGAGCCCCTACAAAGGCCCCTTTCCCCGACGACTCCAGGCAGGAGGGGGCACACGGGCACTCAGCCCCGCCGCCAGACGGGGCGCCGGGGCTCCCCGAGG